ATCTGACAGTGGAGGTATCAATAGGACTAGTTTATGGTTGTTCAACCATGGAAGAGGGCAACTCTGTATTTAAAGAAAGAACATTTTCGGTAATTTCACAGGGCTGTTTTTTGTAGGGTTTTGTGTCTGGTTTGTTTTTTTGTTGTTGTTTGTTTGTTTTGTTTTTGTTTTTTTTGTTCGGCTTTTTCTTGATGCATTTTCCATGTACTTTAATCAAATTGCCTGCAAGTGCCTCAGTCTCCTATGAGGTCTCTGTTAATGCAGGTTACTACATAACTCTGATTAAACTCTTGATAGCTCTTTTAATACTCCAAAGAGATTGGCCAGGGTTATTACCTATGTTACTAATTGCAAAAATTAGAAAAGAAGGAAAAAAAGACTTGAATTGCATCACATGGAGATAAAAGGGATCTATCTGGAAAATGACAGCTATTTCAAATACCCCCCAGTGTTACTCTATTAAGTGAATCAGATTCTGCATGTTCATTAGAATTCATAAATATTCCATATTTTGAGTAGACTTTGAACAAGTTTGAAAGTTATCTCTGGCTCTTGGCTTCTTCTAAAATTAATATACTTAAAAGAAAAGCCAACTGATTTGCAACTAATAAGTCCCAGTGAATTATAAAGAGCCAGGATCCTCTGCATACATCCATGCATGCTACCATATATGGTGATGTTCTTCTCAATACTTGCTGTTCTGCAAAAATGTAATGATAACACATTCAAAACAAATACCTTTTAGGGACTGGTGTGTCAATGGCAAATGAGATAATAAAAATCATTGTTTACATCTGAGCAAATCAGCCCATGGTACTGCTCCGGCTGTAAGTGACTACTTAATCAAGTGCTTTGCTCTCTGGGGTTCATCGTTTCAGCCTTTGAATTGGTGACTTGAGGACCCATGAACTTTAGGAGTTCAGTGCATCGGTCCATCCAGAGAGTCTTGTTGCAGGCTGCCTGACAGGGCAAAGCTTTGAGTGAAAGAGAAGGTAGGCTTGTTTTTAAGCTAGTGTACTTTAGATAATAATGACAACCCTTCTGATTTCCCTTGTATTTAAAATATCTCGGGTTGCTTCTTACTTTTGCACACACATGCCTCTCCCATACATATCAGCATTTACATAGGTGTGCATGCACACATACACACACAGACACGTATTTATGTGTGCGAAAGAAGCAACTGAAGTCCTGGGATGATACTGAAGCTGCTTTCTGTGCTGCCATCTACTGTCCTCTTAACTTACGGTATTTTGTTAAAAGTTTGTTGCCTTATTTTCCCTTTAAAAACAATAGGCAGGTCACATTTGAAATAACTCGAACTACTGTAGTTCAATGAATTAACAGATCAGCTTTGCTTAAGCTTTATTCCCAGCATATTAAAAACATACATATGTAATCCTAAGGCATTTTTGTAAAAATGTTTCCATTTTCTCTTTTCATTTTTAAGCATTTTCCCTGTTTAAAGAACAAGTAATGGGCAAACGAATTATTTTATTTCATTATATTTTCTTTAAACAGCATGGGAAGTGCACTAATTTCCGTCCTAAGGACTGAAATGTAGAAATACTTAAAGATCAGCAGCTCAGGCTACCAGGTTTCTTCATTACCAAATGCACATGTGATGATTAATTGCAGAGGATACCTGCTCCAGCCAGTAGTGCACAGCACCTTGCAGGCTGTGCTGCTACTGCCTTGGAGCACAGCTTGTGCTCTTGCAGCCAGTGTCTTGAAGGCTCGATTCAGCAATAGCAGTGTTAGAAGTGACTAAGGCTAGGACATCTGTGCATGCTTTCAAACGTGCGTGGTCCCTAACGCGTTTTAAACAGAACCCATCAGAAATACACAAGTCAGGATAAACCATTTGATCATGTCTGCTCCCATTTTCAATTTCTATGCTATTTGCACATTAATTCACTGAATCTATTTTCAAAGTAGCATAATAATCAGCTTGCTAAAGTGCGCATTAAGCCCCCAGCCCCATCCCAGCAGAGATTTCTGGCCCCTGCAGTACTTACAGGCTTCCAATTAGGGGAGCAGAGAGTGAATTGGAGAGTCGGGAACCTGTACAGCCACCAGCCGGGACAGTCCAAGTCCTCACTGCCTTTGCAGCCTCCCTATATAGAGGAGGAGAATCTTGTCAATGGGGAGGGGCCCTGGAAACCACGTCCTGCTGGAAAATCCTCTCGGTACCTGGGTTGAAAAAGGCAGCCTGAGCCAAGTACCTCATTACCAGCAGGGCCTAACCCTGGGCTGCTGCCCCTGCCCCAAGCCACTTTTTAGGGAAGCAGGCTGGTTCTGGCTTTCAGGAAGGCATGAAAGGGGTGCCCCTAACTCACAAGTTTAGAGGTTTTTCTTTTTCCTAGGGTGAAGCTGTTCAGCTGAGCCAATGGGCCTTTAACTCCTTCCTGCCTTGGCAGCATCCTCACCCTGGTGTGGTCCCCTGCCTAGAAGGACAAAGGGTAGGTCATGATCCTGCACACTACAGGTTTCCCACCCATGATAATGTGCTTTTTTGGAGCTAAAATTAATCCCTGAGTTCAGGGGATGCTTGGGAGGGGAGGGTTATTCCCAATGTAGCAGGGATGCGTGGGTGGAGGTTGCCCTGGGTCTCTGTGTGTTTATGTGACATCTGGAGCCTAGGGCTGGTTTAAGCCTCCTTTGCCCCTGGGGAACTAGAGGGTTGTTTCCCACCTCCCCAGGAGGATTTTTCAGTTTCTTTCACAATCCAGTGCAGAGCTCAGCTCTTGAGAAAGGACTGTAAATACTTTATCATATATAAGAAATACCTCCCTCTGTCCATAAAAGGAAGAAGAGAAGTGATAAATAGCTGAGGGGAACAGTCCCCAGGATACAGTGGAAAGAACAGGCAGCAGGCACTGTGAGCTGGGGGGGGAGAGGAGGATAGGGTTCTGGGAGCCAGCCCTGCAAGGGTTAGGGAGTGATCTGGTCCTTGTCAAACCTTTCTCACACCCCCAAACCTTCAGTCCCTAGCTGTCCCCCCTTCTTCCCGTGCTAGTAGCCAACAGCCTTGTGCAGTAGGACCTGTGGATGGAGACATCCCAAAAAGGGAAAGCTAGGATCCTCTAGGAACTCCCATCAATGTGCCAAATACAAAATACCGAAACAACCCTCTCTCTGCAACAGACTAAATATGGTGTATGCCCAAAGGATCAGAGTGCAGTCCCGGGTGAAATAATTTCTCTTGACATGAATAGCCCCGTCTTCTCTGGAAAATAAACCCTCCTGAGGAAGATGGATAAGGATCATAGAATAGATAGGATTGGAAAGGACCTTAAGATCATGTAGTTCCAACCCCTGTAGACCATGTCACCCAAGGCTCTGTCCAACCTGGCCTTGAACACTCATATTGGTCTCTGTCCTAAAAAAAATACCTCTGAGGGGAGGCTGGGCTGAAAACCTCTGCTGCGACTTTGTCAAAGTACCAGCACTTGCAGGTATGATGGATCTGTAGCCCCTTCCTCCAGCTTTGGCCAGTGGTAAACAAATATGGGCAAAGAGGAGAGAGGGGAAGAGCATCAGGGTTTTTCCCTACATCATTTCAGAAATGTCAGGTACAGACTCATGTTCAGGTCTTAGCTGAACACAGTCACACAATCCCAGCAGTTGCAGTCTGTCCTTCCAGATGGAGGGTCAGTGCCCACTGAGGTGCAGACACTGCAAAGCCCTCCCAGGTCCTGAGAGGCAGCAGTGTCATATCAGACTCGTGCACGTGTGACTGTGCTGGAGCAAAGCCAAGGGAAATGATCGCCAGGACGTAAACCCAAGAAACTCGCCCTTGTTAGCAGGAAACTCCTCACAGGGTAGTCCACCCTGTTTTTATTTTTATTTCAGTTTCTCAGTTGCAAACGTATCCTTTAAATAGGAATGTAAGTACTATGAAATAATGAAATGCAACAGGATCCTCTGTAAATTACAATCATTTTAACATTCATCAAAGTTATCCTAAAAAGTTCCTTTTAAACCCATGCAATGGTTTTGCAAAACCAGACACATTTTAATAGTAGCTTAAAAAGGAGTGGAAATTATCCCGGCTGGTCTGCAGGGCACTGCATGTGCACGTGCAGGCTTGCTGCCTGAGGAGTGTGTTTAACAGAGGCAGCGGTGGAGGGTGATATATGACGTGACATTAAACGGAGCTGGAGAGCCTAAGAAATATTACTGCTGGAACTGAAACGGTTGCACTCTGGAGCCATGTGGGGCAGGAACTGATCAAGTGTAAAAGTGGTCTCCAAACTTCACTTAGAAGATGTAAGAATCTAATATAGTAGCCCAGATGGAGTTCCCTAATTGTGGTTTGGGTTTTCTTTAAAATAAAGTTGTTTCACAGTTATAGCTGTGGATTTCCAGTGGAGAATGCCTTTGTGGCAGAAAATTCACTTTATTTAAACCCTCTGCTTTATTTGTTATAACCACTTGTCTAGAAAAAATATTGAGCAGCTTTCAAATATCTCCTTGATGTATTTGCACTGTAAATACTGTACTTGGGGAAAAACCTAGGGGAATCGATCAGGAAAGAAATGAACTTTCAGCTGCACTACTACAGTGTAACCTGAATACAACGGAAGGAAAAAAGCAAAGCACGGATGGAGATGTTAATTTGTTAAATGATGTGTGTTAGGTAAGAACTTTTTAAATGTTTTTACCTAAGTTTACCAACCACACTTCTCTAAGCTGACAAATGTAATTGGAACTGACAAGCACCCCGGTGGGTTACCGCCTGTGTTAAGCTGCTCTCTTGCAACAGGAGGGGCAGTCTGTGTCCAAACTAGAACAATTCATCATGAGAGTACTCTAACGAGGTAAAATACTCACCATCATTTAATATTCAGCTTTGTGGTTAATGCTGGCTGCAGGTCAAGTGAAGTATGTGAAGCACACAGGTCAGTTCTGAATCAACTGGACACCAGCTGCTACTGAAAGGGCGTCTTTGCAAATGTGAGCAAATATTTGGTTTTTTTTTCCTAATCACCCAATGATAATCACTCCTCCGGAAAACTGATCAGCTGACACCAAGATTCAGCTTGATACAAAGGGTGCTCAGGAAGGAAAGCGTAACTGAGTCCCTGGAGCGTGTTGATAAAAGTTTAGACAAAAATTTCCCTTGTGCATGACAGAAACTAATACCTCTGGAGTCCATAGACGGTTTCCTCTGGTTCTAGGGGACAGCAGAAATTTGGTTTTAAAGAATTTGTTTTTTAATCTTCTAAATTCTTCCAAAGTGCTTTCCAGCTCTGATACCCACACCAAACTTCACTGCCTCCTTGTCACCTTCACTTGTGACACCATGCTTGGACAACGAACAGCCTTTTTTAACGTAGTTCCTCTGTAACAGTCTGAGCTAGTGTTCTATCTCAAAAAAAACCCCTCAGAAATGCATTTTGATCATCAAAGTCCCCAAACTTCTACATGCTTATATATATTTTCTTTTTTCCTTTCACTTTCTGATGTCAGTAGAAGGACCAAGGGCAGTTAATGCAAGACATCACAGTCTGTAATGAAGCTAGATGGAGATTCTTTAATTATTGGAGAAAACAATTTTTGTGCATGCTCACCTACATGGCAATTTTGTCTAAAACCTGAACCTGTGACTCTAGGATTGTGAATTATTTTCCTCTAAATACTGATCTCACTTAGCTTAAACTTTTAAGGAATTAGTTTTTGGGAAATGTGAATGTTGCAAAGGCCTTGGAATTCATCTGTTAGAGAGTAAGCAGGCTGACATTAATAGGATGTGCCACATCTGCATCTTGAAAGATGCTCTCGTATTTCATGTGCTATCAGGATAAATGCTAGACCACTAATAATGTGATTAGACCAATGTATTTTCATAGAAATATTTCAAAGCTTTGTTGTACAAATAAATACTAGGGAAATACACTTTAGTTCAATTGGCTTGTACAATGGCTATACTTTAAAACAAGAGATTGTCCCAAATGCTCAAATCTGGGCTCTGAGGGTATTAGAGGATTACATGAAGCATGTTGCACCAAGAGCAAACAGGCCAGCTTCCACCCACCATCCCAGCTCAGGATCCTGACAAGGAGCTGAAGAAACCATCCCCTAAGAAAATAGTGCTGAAATTCCCTTAAATAGAATTCTCCTCTGATTACAGCTATTCCTTCCCCCAAAGCTTAGTAAGTACACTCTTGTAACAGCCTCTGCTGTCATGGCTGTGGAGACCACGAGCCTGTAAGTCTGCTGAGCTGTGTGCTTGGGAAAGGCAAGTACCCAATAGTGCTTTGCCTTACTCAGCCAGAACAAAAATTGTATTTAACTTCCACCATGAAAAATCCATTTCCCAGGGAGCTCCATGACACCTGGTCAGCTTCTGTATGATCTGCGGTGGAAAGACAGAAAGCAGATGCAATGGCTTGGGTTACACTGGAGGATTTGCATCATAGAACGCTAGAGCTTCTGTGTTTCCCAGAGCTTTTCTCCTTGCCCTTGAAGAGAAAATTCAGATACGTAACAATTTCATCCACTGGTTTCTGGAGAAACAGGGATCTAGCAGTTAACCTCTGGAAACGCGAAGTTAAAAATTCAGGGATTTCTGTGGTCAGGGAATCGTACCTGCATTGTTTCAAAGCTCACTTTCGCAACTTTTCGTAGAGTCACTTTTAGCACATTTAAAAATGAAGGTAATTCACAAATAACACCTTAGAAGACCATTTTTCTACTGTATTTATAGGTAGAGAAACTGAGAGATCAGTGGTTGTGAATATTAGCACTGATGTGGTAGGAAAGACTGAGTAATGAGGTAGAGTCCCACAGTGGTAGTTTCCACACGGATGGCTCTTCAGCCAAGTGATTGAACCTGACAATGGTGCCAACACATTTGCACAGAGCAGACATTGAGGGCACAGAGACAAATTTGCTTGTCTGACCCAGTGGTCAATTCTAATTGACAGAAAGCTACAAGACTTAAAAGATGGATCTGACTGAGGTGGATTTGCAAACACATGTCTTCCCCTCCTGGCAAGGGGCCTGAGATACTTACGTATCAGGAAATGGGGAGCTAGCAGTATTGCCAGTCACACAGAGAGGGTGAACTCACTACTGAGGCTTCAAGTGGATAAAATGCAACACTTCCTTTCAGCATATAGCTCGTCTGCAGTTTCACATCACAGTAGAGGCTAGGCTGCTTCACAAATAAAACAAACCACCTGTAACACCAACTGGGTCTGATCAAGATAAAAGCAAAACTCTGAGGTGTGTACAACCTGGGGTCCTTTCACTTAAACTCACAAACTGCATGTCCTCTTAACTCTCTTTATTTCCCACTTACTGTACCATTTGTATAACAGTTAAGATTTTTAAGAATGCAACCCTAAAATATATTTATACAAAACTCCTCTCAGTATCATTTGATGCATTAAAGTCTATACATTTTGTTAAAATAAGTAGCTAACCTGTTATTTCTGACATACCCCTATAAGTTTGGCTTTTAAAATAAATTCCCATTTCAAAACATGTAAACACCTCAGCTAAAAAAAGTTCTGGTAATCAGCAATCTGTTATCAACTTTATTTTTAGCTTTGCCTGAGTTTCATGTCTTCTGGGGAAAAACCACGTTTCTCCCCTTCCTTGTGTAAGTGTTACACAGCTTATAGCAACTCCAGATGGAAAAGACTTACTCTCATGTGTTTGTTGGCATGAAGATAAATATAGTGTGCATTCTGGAGAACTAAAACTATCTATTCCTCTAAAGTACTTTAATTTTCTATTCAACTTTTTTTTCCCATACTTACCTGAAAGTAGCAGTTTCCCCTTTTAAAAGAGTGATTCAGATATTTAGGTTGAACACTTTAAAAATTCCACACTGAATAGAACAGAAAAAAATTTATTCAGAAACACAAACACACAAACAAAGTGCAGAAGTGTTAAGTTGTCGCATACACTTTTATAAGGCAAACCTGTTTTTATAAAGTATATTGTTAGACTAAATTCTAGAGACAGGCATCACTAATCTAACTTCTTATACAGTTTTGCTTGTATCAGCACTGGAGAAAGAGCCTTTGCTAGCATTTTTTTAACTGACAGTATGTATGACAAAGTCATCCTGTCTCATTGGTAGATTTAACAAGCTGAAGTGGTCCCACTGGATAGACTGGTGAAATGGATGCGAAGAAGAATTTCCTAAATGAACTCTTACAGGACTTTACATGAGAAATTAGCATACAAAAGATATCACTTGTTCATACTTCGTGTAACAAAGGGGCTCTTCGATGCTTGTGCCAGCTGTCCTTCCTGGCTCTGGAATTCTATCTGAAAATGAAACACACATACTCTCATGCAGCTGGACATCTAAACTTATAAATGTTATTTTCTATTATTATCAACTTTGATACAGAATATCATCATGGGAAACTGGTGACTTTACCAAAAAAATGTTTCCATGCAACTATATGAGGTAAGAGCTTTGCATCACTAAAGGTTAGATTCCAGACAACTGCCAACCTGGCTACAGTGAATGAAGTAACAGAAACACCAGAGTCCATGTGTTTTATCAGGATTGCTGGTCTGTTGGAATATTCATTCAACTACATAAGCAAACAACTTCTAGTATGCAAAGCAAGTTGGTGTTATGTATGAGACTTGGTGCGTTAAGTTTATGAATGGATAGATTACCTGAATATGCAGCCTACTTAAAATATATATTTAGTATTTTAAGCCCACTGCTTTTAGGTCTCTGCTGACATATTCCACAAACACATGCAGAAAGGAGTTTTCAGACTATAGTTACTTAAAGGTTAAAAGCCTTAAAGCTGCCGTTTAGTTCAAAAAGCAATATGCTGTCATGTCTTACAATTAATCCTGAGTTTTGTAACTAACTCTGAACTAAATCCCCACATGAAATTATACTGCAGTCAACAGGGGAGGGTGACCCTGCACAGAGTCAGTTTCAGAACTGAGGTACAAAGGTATACTTTAAAAACAGTTCTTCTATACACTGAGTTTAAAAACCAAAATAATTTAGAAATTTCTGATACAAATAATTATTTCTAACAAAGAAACAATTCGTAACAGCTTTGGTATTGAAATTTCCTTTCCTTAGCCCCTTTTCTGGCAGGAGGGAAACAACATTGTCTCAATTAACTGTTAAGAAAAGGTGTTTAGTACTTCTCTCACGCTTTTTAGATGACAGCAATACCTCAGGCCTCGTACTTTTCAAATTTTTGGATACAAAATAAATAGTTGATAGTACTAAGGCAACAGTACTAAATTTTCACATTAAAAAGTGACAGGCCAAGCTGACTCTGAAGGAAAAACCTGGACCAACAATCCCTTTCATTCTGTAGCTTAGGCATTACTAACTGTAACCAATCAAAACGCAGACCAGAAAAGGAAAATTAAGATTTAGCAGTGCTCTGCCATAGAGCAATGAACTCGGAGCTTAAGCTTCTGCAGTCAAAGGGATGTGAATTATGTCCTCAGCAAAGGTTTATGCCCATATACAGAATTGACAGCTGAAGTTTAAGCACTTCCTACAGAAATCAGTTAATTTAGAGCAGATAAAAAACAAAGAGATACACCCACTGTTTAATGTATTTTGCTGAGAATTAAGTTCTTGTATTAAATTCCCAGTGTAAGTAAGACAGTCTCTAGCTGACCCACTTCAGGTATGTAATGCTGTAAGGGACTACAATTTGGCCAGTTTAACTTTTAGGGAAATGGCAAAGCAATCTGGTGGATGACCTTTCTGATCCTGAGAACTGGAACATTAATATTTTCTGGTCTTTACCAACAATGGCAGAGCAGTAAACCTTGTCTGTAAAAGCATACAGGTTATGACAGATATTCTACCATCTAAAAATCAGAATAGCACTGCTGTTTGTTTTAAATGAGCTCTCCAACAGTCCAAAAGTCTTAACAGAATAAAGCTAAACAATTAGGATTTTTTTTTCCCCTTCCCATTAGTATCTAACAAGTAGCTAGCTACAAGTACCACAAGGTAACAGGAGTGTCACAGTCGAAAAATCATATAAACTTGGCTGTCTGCAATACTTTCAAATGTCTGTTTTATAAATAAAATACATTCCCATGTATGAGAAAGTTCTACCACTGATACATCTGAAGGCCAGTCAAGCACTTCCAAGGCCAATCGGCATACCATTAGCATACCAGCAGAGAGCTGGTGTAAGCTGGTCACTTCTTTGAACACAGGCACATATAAAGGGTCTTTCTTAAATGAATACATGAGCAACAGCTATGGTCAGGTCACACAGCTTAATGCTATTTTTGAAGTATAAACATCATTCTGCTGAAGAATTTTTCTTTTTAAGAGAGATGTCACTGCAAAGCATTCCTTGCACAGAAGAGGAGGTACAGTGTGTTCATCTGCATGTTTATGCTGTTATAAGCATAGGTACCGTACAGAAAATCTGGTCACAAATAAAACTAGCAAAAATGACAGAACACCCACCTTTTTAATTTCTATCAGTAGGTGGTTTGCCAAAGTTCTGCTTTGGATAATTCAGCAAAGTCATTCTTGCGGGGGTATTCTGGTTACTTTCTTCTTTACCATCACGTAAGAAATGAGAGAGAATTCCATACAAGAGAGGTCTGTTTAAGAGAGAAAAGACAAAATGAGTCTATGAAATAATGAGCATTAAAAATACACCCTTTCCTCAAACTTCTTGATGTTTACTTCTAGAATATATATGGATGTCTTTACATATGTATATATATGCATACACATATATGTAATTATGCTAAGTATCATTACATAAATCAGCACAGCCCGCCCCAAATATCAGCACACACTTAAAAAGCTTGCCTTAAGAGACACTCTCAGCTAAACTCCAGATCCCCTGTAGCTGAAGGACTGGACCCTGCCTAGCACAAAAACCCAGATCCACATTCTCGCTTGTGCAGTATGAAGGATCAGGCTTTGCCAGGCACAGACCACCACTGCACAAACTGAACTTGATTCTTCCTTAGCACCTGACAGATTCTGATAGCACAAGCTACAGAGAACACTGACCGTGTTTAAAGCTGCTTCAGTACCCTAGTTCATTAATGAAGTTGCACTGAAGCACTATAAATTTGTATCTAATCTAAGACTACAATAATCTTTTTATTGCTCTACAAAGCAATCCACTGATTTGCAAAGAGTATATCTGTTTTCTACTTCTGACTGCAGGGAAAACTGTACTGATAAGAGACTTGTGTTTAGGCACGTAAGTACACTATCTGAAGAAGGCTACAGAGTTAGCAGAATTAAATGGAGCATGTCTGAAAACGGCCCTGTGTTTGACATTGTGAATTTTAATCCAGCATGTTAAAGCAGGCATCTGAATTGGTGAGATCAGTTATATGGGATTTATAATAACCATAAAGAGAAAAATATATGCAAATCAGAATATACTGTGCATTTAAAAATCACTCCTTACACTGATTTTCCATTTGTGCCTTCAACTAAGTTCAGCTCTTTGACAAGAAACTGCCTATCCAAGGACACTTCAGGCTGGCCAGACTCTGGAAAAAATATTAAGACTGGTAAGAAAAATATCATCAATTAACAGATTTCAAAAGAGAAAAAGAACACACACACCCCTTTTAGACCATTAATATCTAACAGTATAATTCCAGGGAACTCACTTAAACATTAGTGCTTCATACTTACGTAATTCATATGACATATTAAGATTTTTATCTTCACTCTAAAGAAATCTAAGAAAATTATTAAAGAAGGCTTACACTATAATTAGGCAAACAACTCTCTCTAAAGAAGTACTGTTACAAAACAGATTCCATACGTTAACTACAGTACAGGCTGTCTTCATTCCCTCAAGGGGGACTGAAATATATCAAATTATTAAATAGTAGTAATTACTGTATCTAAGCACGACTGTAGAACTTCAAATTTCTAATACAGTTAGCAATACCTACAAAGATAAGTAAGGGCTGTACCACGTAAATTACAGCTCCTCTTTCAATACTGTAAACAGCTCTCAAATACAGGTATTTTAGCACAGCCAGTAGCAACAGTGCTTAACTGCAGTTGTGGGGGAAAAAAAAAATCAATCTATCTTATTCGTACTCTAGTTTAAGCTGAGGACATCTAACAAAGCTTCTGATACATTCTTTATGCATGAATTGCCAGAACTGCTAAAATTCAGACTCTCACCTACTTTATGTACATTTTACTTTCATTTTTTCCTCAAATAAATTTTGTTCATTTGTAGGCTGTTGTTTTGGTTTGGTTTTTTTTACCAAAATGCCAATGAGATAAGAATATGATATATGATTCAAAAACAGTTAGCAATTTTCCAAGACAAATGGAGAGATTTCAGGAAAGGCATTTTGATTTTGGAGGCTGCTAGCAGGTTTTCTTGTTCTTGCATCAAATACTTTGTCAAAGCATTTACCTCAAGGAAAAGGGGTAAAGAGTGTTCTTGAAAACAAATGGTATAACTTTGCTTAATGCTGCAAGTAAAACTGTGGAGAGAGTATTTTTATTTATTTTGAAGAGAAGACAAGACTCTGCAGCTTGGTCCCGCTTATGAATTTCACAGTGCCAGTGGAATTACTCAGCCAAACAGCAGTTGTCTGTTAATACACTGATTACAACAAAAATTCAGACCCAATACCTGCAGTTAAAACATGTGCTGCATTATTATACTTGTTATATTTCAGGTATTCACGTATTAGTTCGTTGATTAAAAAGTTTTCACGAGTCAGCGGTGGACGTGGCTCATTTTGGTCATCCAGTGCCTTAAAAACTTCAGTTCTGATCCTTGCTTTTATTTGTCCAAGTGCACCTTTTCTTTCCAGTGTTTCCTTTAAAGCTATTACCATAAAAAGATCGTTAATATAAAGCCAAGCGTATTCTAGCAGCATTCTTATCACCTACAATAAACATAATTTCGGCATATTCACAGTGAAAGATACCTGCACCTGTGCATACGCCAGCAGGTAACAGTAGGAACGTTACAGATAACTACTGAGCCTTCAAAGAAGCCACAATTATATCTTTTTTTTTAGTCGTAAACATACGTTTTATCGATTTCAAAAGTGGGATGTAACTGGATCAAGACGTTTGCAACGAGTGAAAACCGAACCAAGATCAACGCTAAGAGCAGAGTATTTGAGTGAAGGCTCAGGGACGTTTCTGCTGCGGCTCCACAACGGGCGCTGTGAGGGGACGACGACGTCCATTAGCGCCCGGGGCGACTACGCTACGCACCCGGGGGTACAATGCCGACCCGGCCGCCCACCCCTTCGTTGTGCCGAGGTGCTCCCATCACAGCCAGGCTTCCCCACCTCTCCAACACCCCCACCTCGCTACCTGCTTTGAGCTGCGCCACCGACGCCATTGCTCAACAGCCGCGCCCAGCACCCAGACGAAACACTTCGGAGTCCACACGTTGCCACTGCGCAGGCGCGGTGCCGGGAGGTGGGAGTGGGCGGGGTGGGCGCGCTTAGCCTGCAGGGCCGGTGGCCCGGAAGGGCTCCCCTCTGTGTGGGGCTGCCCGTGTGAGGGAGCGCCCCTGTGCTGCCGGGATGTCCGCTGGGCAGCGGCAAGCCGGGATAAAATAATGAGTGCCTGTGCGCTGTGGATGGAGTTACCCTTCGGTCCTGTCAGCCGCGGAGGGGGGAGCGGGCGGTGTTTTGAGGGTTGTGGTACTTTTTCCTCTCTATAATTACAAACGTCAATGTGCTTTATTTGGAGGGGAAAAAACACCCCCCACCCCCCCCCCCAAACACCAAAAAGGGCTAAAGTGACATCTGGAGAATGAATGAGATTCCTACGGCAGAGGAGTTTTGCATCGGGTCCCTGAAAGATGAACTTCTAATTAAAGGGAATCACCAAAGAGGAGCTTTTAATTAAAAAGACCTGCCAAAATGTAACCGAATACCGGTGTTTCGCAAGTGTGTGAGAATCCCTGGTGTGACTGGAGACATGCGTGTGTGCTTCACGTTGCTGGGGTGAGGCGACAGCGTTTGTTTTGTGAAAGTATGAAGACTTTCCCAAAGGAAATGCAGCCAATGTGGATGAACAAACGGGATTTGTCATGGTCTGGTTGGAGCAGCCTCCTTGGGCTTGAAGGAAAATGTGAGTCTTAAGCAGTAAACCACTTAGAGCCTTGAACTGTGGGGTGGGGTTTGTTTGTTGGGATTTATTTTTGTTTATTTGGTTGGGGTTTTTTACATTTCCTCTCAAAGCAAATATTTATGTTACGAGCTCCCAAGAAATCTCTAATGGAGGGCAATAAATAAAATTAATGAAAAAAGCCTTTAGAGGGAATGGTGAAGTTAATCTGTTCTTTAACACAGCACGAACTTGCAGTGAGTCAGCAGCAGTATGTGCCTCTGCTTTTCCCAAGTCTGCTGCCCAGCTCCCCAGTGCAACTGGTGATGAAGGACTGCTTATCTGACACACAACAAGTTTTCACAGTCATAGTATTTTTCTCTGTATCCTTCTGAAGTTCTCCATGTTGTTGTAGGTCACTGTTCTATTACACCTAACTTCTGGTTGTTGTTTTCCACCCTGTATTAATTTTTCTGCTGTATCACTTCAGCTGTAAGTTTATATTGTGTTTTTGCACACAGAGTATGTGTAAAAGTGTAAGCTCTTAGAGGCTGCATTTTTTTTTCTGTTTTACTGTGTATTAATAATGCTGTTAAAAAGGAAAAGCTCTTCCTACAGGGCTACTAAATAATACAAGCAACTGTGGGGTATCTTGTATTATTTGTCAGAGTTACAATTCTTCATATGTGATGCAGAGTAGCCAGGATAAAAAAGTATTCCTTACAGCTGACAGGCAGTAGGGTAACACATGTGGGAGGCTATGATGTAACTTTTACAACAGGTGTGATAGCATTGAGACATCAAAAAGCAACCCACCAAGGTATTTACTATGATTTTAAGATGAATTTAAAGATGAATGCACAAACCAGGACAAATATTCTTAATCAAGATAAGGGGAATCAGATGTCAACATTTAGCTGTTGTCTTACAGTACTATAAAGATTTTAATGCTGTATGAACTAAGGTATGGGTTAAACTGATACGAGCTGTTGCACTTCTGACACCGAATTTGGTTTGATCTTTCTGTAATGATTCTGCTCAGGTCATCAAGGCATACAGGGCCTTGGTGGAGGCTGAACATTGCTGCTGCTCCTCCCTCAACCTGACACCCTGGAAATGAGAGATACAGGGGCACAGATCAGTATTGCTGCAGTTGAATGAACAGCATGGCCACAGCCAGCCACCAGCACAGCTCCAAAACTACAGTGAAGGCATGCAGGCCAGTAAAGCAGCGACCTGTGATACTATCTTTGTATGTGATTCTTGCATTTTACTTACACATTAGACAAACAAGACCTGTCTCTCTTCCTATAGCTTTGTCTCTTTTGACAAGTTTGTCTGTTACCATAATTGCTCTGGATGCAGAAGAACATTTTAAATTGAGATTCTTTATGTAGCTCATATAATTAAAGGTTTCAGTTGTTTTTCTGTCGTGTAGCACGTAACCACCCTGCTCTTTTCTGCAGGGTATGACGCTATTCTGGCCTATGTGCCATACATGCTCCAGCTGGTGTTTTCTAGTGTGTCAGATAGTCAGCCGAGCATGGATGTCGTCTGTGGGCTTAACCGATGCATTTTAAATTGGATGTGAAGAGTGCACCGTGAGACAGAGCCAAACACAGCCTTAGGGGCTGTGCAGTTACTTGAACCAGTATATAGTTTGGTGTAAAGTTGGTTGTGGATGAAGCCGTTTAGGTTCAGTTCATGGTAGTCAACTCGAAGTAGTTCAGGGCTTTGAAAGCAGTTTAACTGCTTCACGTTGAGACATAAAAGTATTTGAAGGTGAGGGCTTTCACTGTGTCCTTCCCTGAGGAAGGCTCTGGCTTGCAGTGCCTTTCCATGGGGGATGTGTGGGGGTCCTGTATCTGGTGCCCGGAGAAGGGCGCGCAGTAGCGCCTGCGGGCAGCCCCGACCGCCGGTGCGGATGGGAGGTGCGCGATCCGGAAGGCTGCTGGAGGGAGGCGAGGTGGGGGTGCAACGAGGGGGGCAATGCTTCCGCCCCGTCGAGGCTTGCTGCGGCGCGGGGTGTCCTGAGCCAAACACGTGTTAGGCTCCGGCCAAGCTCGCAGCCTCGGGACCCGTCCTCGCCCCGGGCTGGGGCACAGGCCACCGCGTGTGCCAAAGCGATGCGCGCCCCGCGGAACGCCGCCGCCGGGCCGGGCCGGGCTGGGCTGGGGTGCACAGCTCCGAACCGCCCGCCCCCGCCGAGGCGGCGCTGCGCAGCGCGGGCGGCGGCGGCGCCGCGGCTCTGCATCCCCGTGACCGCGGAGCCAATCAGGGCGCCGTGCTGGCAGTGCCGGCCCGTCTCCGCCCGGGCACGGAGAGGTGCGGAGGGGGAAGCGCAGCGCTGCCGCGGGAGCCCGCGGTCACTTCTCCGCGCCCCATGGGGATCGAGAGCTTCTGCAGTGTGGACGCCTACGAGCCCTTCTGGGTGAGTGGCGGGATGGGGTTGCAGGGTCTCGGCTCGGCGGCGGCGGTGGCTGCTGCCAGTGCCGGCACTGAGGGATGGTGGGGAGCCGGGTGGGACAGGGATGGTCGCTGGCCGCTGGCCCCGGTCAGAGCCCGAACAGGCTGCCTCCGGCGGGGGAGACCCGGAGCCTCCCATGCCGGCGCTCACCGTAGGCAGAGCGCGGGGGTCTGGGGCGCGCCCCGGCCGTGCGCCAGCCCCTTTGGCCCCAGCGGTGCTTGCGTGATACGCCGGCGTGAAGCGGCCTCGGGCTTGCGTGGAGGAGCAGGGCCGTGTCTGGGGGCTCGCGGGTCTGTGGCTGTGTTCGATGTTCCCGATCCCGAGTCGCAGAATGGGACCCGGTGTGCCTCGTGTGCGGGGTTTCCGGCAGGGAAATACAATGCTTGTAGGGAGGGACGGGTTAGCGAGCGCTTGCCTGGGAGACACGAAACGAGTTCCTAAGTGACCCGCGTTTGGCTGTTCGTCTGCATTACTCAGGGCTGTGCGACTAATAACGGTGACTGGCTGCTGCCATCATACTAAAGTGGCGTGCTGTCCTGGGAAGGAGGCCAGAGATACGCTTTCTGCGGGTTAGCAGCTATATCGCGTGTTTGCATAGCGGTATTTTTGCTCTTCCTTAACGTAGAGTGGTGAGTGCAGCCTGTTGTGGGTGAACTGAAGACCAGCTGTGCAAGGGAGGGTGGTGTGGAAACGTTGCAGAGTGCGTCTTGCTCGGCTGAAACAAGGTGTGCCTTTGCAAAAGCACACAGGTGCTAGCAGCAGTGAGGCCTCTGGGAGGGCAGGAAGGCAGTGAAAATCCTTGTGAGGAGGAAACGGGTTGTATGGGAAAAGAGGTTGTCTGGAGGAAAGGAGGACAGAGAGGTGGAAGCTGGGGGGAAAACAAAACTGGGGTGAGAGCTACTGAGGACAATGCAGGGCTAAGAGGGAGATGTGGATTTTTGTAGACTGTTCAAGGAACTCATGTATTCATCGGGTATTTGCCAAAACCAGCACTGAGCTAATGAACAGCCTTACGAGTAAAATAAAATTGGACGTCTCAGCACATGTTGTTGTACTGTTTGTCTCAAGAACTATTAAGATATTACTCAGCAAATATTTAAAAAATCATTAAGACTTCAAGATACTTATCTTTTCCAGCTGTTCCAAAGTGACTCTCACCTCCTATTACATTGCTTGTGTTTGTGCATCTTTTAAGCTAATTTTCATGTTTCTCAGTGTGGGTTAAATTACAGATTGTCATCAAATGTTTCCCTTTCCTAGAATGAGACATTTTCTTTTTGAAGAGCTTTAGGGAATACATGTGTCAGAACTCAGTTTATGGTAAAGCTTCTGGAAAAGAGTTTACAGTTCTTTGGCTTGTGGGATTGAAACATCAGGTAGAAACAAGATCTAAACTTAAGATGTTGGAAGCAACTAGTTTATATAGGATTTCTGACGCCGGATTCTTTTATTGTGAAAGCACTATTCTTGTATAGCCGTTTCTGCCAGGTCATAACTACACCACACATTTTTTTCGCTAGATATATTGGTTCCCAAGAGCATAGATGACTTTGTGATTTGTCATCCTTCTCCAAGTCACGTGGAGTCTGCCTTTTGTTTCTTCCAGCTGAAGATCCTCTGGGTGTGGTTGAGTTTTGGGTTCTTCTAATCCTGAAAAAGAACAGTTGTGTATTCCAGTTGCTGTAAGGTGTCTTCGGAAAACTCTTCTTCCTTGGCTAACTTGTCCTCATGAGCAGCACTCTGTATCCACTTTGTTGCATTGTTCCTAATAGTGGGAGAGTAGTAATGCTAGTCTTGGTCCTTACGGATTCTCTGGCTGCTTTGTTTTCTGGTGTTTCCGTCGTGGCTACTACTTGAAGCTGAAGTTGTAATGGAGTTTCAGAAAATGCCTATGTACATGCAGTGTTTCACTGGGCTTCTAGATACCACCTCTGTGGTACTGTGTGCTA